TCTGTTCAGAAATTATAACTTCAGTCAAAAATTGGGCTTGAGAGCAGGAATTGAGATGAAGAGGAATTTTAAAACTTATGGGTGATAAAAAAGTGAAGTTTCATCTGCGATATATTTTAAATGAAGTTTTTTACAGGTCAAGCTAACTCTGCAGGATACGTTAGGAATGCTTCAAGTGCCATACATCCGAGTTAAACTTCAAAAGCGATAGGGATCAGTCGAAAGAGGGCAGTGCTATGCTCAAACCATCTTTTTTCCCAATGCATACCGAATTTTTGCGTTCGACGACACTGATAACTTGAATTTTTTTTCAACGTGCTATAAGATTTTTGGTGCACAAAAGATTCATCGAGTTCCTTTTGCCATAAAGTATACACTCTGTCATAAGCAAAAGCTGTGGCTGAACAATGAGATGTTCCAGATTGGCACTTAGCAATCGTTGTATTAGCACTAATTAAAACAAAAAAAGGATCCGTTGGAACAGTATACCCAAAATTTATTGCACACCAGAGAAATGGCTTAGTTGCAGCCCTCTCTGAATAATAAGAGAGTTTCACTTGCTGACTGTCATGCATTATCCAGTAAATGCTAGCAGAGAGTGGCGAATATTATCCAAATTCATTTCGTTTCCTAAAAATAAAACAGTAGCGGTTGAAGATGACCTTCCTGAACTCCGAATTTTTCCTAACAAATGCTACGAAACATAACCCAGGCTGGAACGCACCAGGCTCTCTGGTGCAATCATGCGTTTTTGCACCAAACTCGCAGATCGCTATCAGCAAAAATGATTCCTACACTGCAGCCTAACACTTGGGTTATACTGGCCGTACTTTGATCCTTTCCGGCATGCAGGAAGAAGGGCGTCAGTTGAGATGAAACTGGTGCATTACAGAGCCGCACGGACATCCAGGTGCATGATTACCGGTTTTTTGCATGAAGTCCGGTCATTTTTGTGCGTTTTTGCCTACATGCAAATTGCAACCCAGGCTGGAACGCACCGGACGGGCCTGTGCGATCATGCGCTTTTGCACCGGACTTGAATTACTCAGCTCATTAACTGTATGGCTGTTGCTTTACACCTAATTTTTGCGGTCACTAGTATAAATCATTATAAATTTTGCAAAGTAAACGTACAATTTCCACTTAACAG